TAACAGCTGCTCCTGCTCACCAGCCCTTAATATTTTATTATTGCAAATGATCAAATTCAGGGTTATTCTTTTGTTTTTTGTCTTTTTGAGACAGGGTCTCCCTGTAGTCACAGCTGTCCTGGAACTCAGTATGTAGACCAGACTGGCCTTGAACTCACAGATCCACCTTCTTCTACCTCCTGAGTGCTGGGATTAAGGACATGTGCCACTATGCCTGGCCTTATTTATTTATTTATTATTTATTTATTTAGGTCTTTTTGAGACAGGGTCTCCCTGTAGCCCCAGCTGTCGTGGGACTCACTATGTAGACCCGCTGGCCTTGAACTCACAGAGATCCACCTGCCTCTGCCTCCCAGCTGGGAGTGCTGGGATTAAAGGCGTGCACCACCACACCCAGGTATGGCATTTATTTTTAATTGTGATAAAATGTACATACATTAAGTTTATCACCATAAGTATTTTAAAGATTTATTTTACTTATTTTTTTAATTTGTGTGTTTGTGTGTGTGTGTGTGTGTGTTTGTGTGTCTCACATGTGTGCAGGTGACTACAGAGACCAAAAGAAGGTACCAGATTCCCCTAGAGCTGAATTTACAGGTGCACCACCACACCCAGGTATGGCATTTATTTTTAATTGTGATAAAATGTACATACATTAAGTTTATCACCATAAGTATTTTAAAGATTTATTTTACTTATTTTTTTAATTTGTGTGTTTGTGTGTGTGTGTGTGTGTGTGTTTGTGTGTCTCACATGTGTGCAGGTGACTACAGAGACCAAAAGAAGGTACCAGATTCCCCTAGAGCTGAATTTACAGGGAGTCCTGAGCCAGATGTGGGTGCTAGGTACTGAACTCTGGTCCTCTATAAAAGAGTAGCAGGTGTTCTTAATCACTGAGTCATGTCATACACCTTAAGTGTATAGTTTAGTAGTGCTAAGTACATTAATACTGTTGTACAATCAGTCTTTAAAACTCTTTCTGTATTATAAAGCAAAAAGTCATCTCTCATTAAGCTAGTGGTGGCACATGCCTTTAATCCCAGCACTTGGGAGGCAGAGGCAGGCCGATCTTTGTGAGTTCGAGGCCAGCCTGGTCTACATAATGAGTTCCAGCTGGGGCTACAGGGAGACCCTGTCTCAAAACAACAACAACAATAACAAAAAAAAAACCTGAATGTCAAAATAGTAGAATTTGACAGACATGGAATTTAAAAGTTGAGAAACAAAGTTGCTCAAAGCCAGGCTGGGTATTGGCCAATGATTTCCCCAGGGGCCCAGTGGTACCACATTGTCAGGCAGAATGCAGGTGTCCTGCATCAGCCCCTTCTGCAGGATGTGGGTAGCCACTGCTCTGAATACCTGCACTCCCATGTAGACTAGATGTTACTATTTTCCCATTTTTGAAATTAATACCATTAAGTACGGTGCATACACCTAATCCCAACTGCTTGCGAGCTAAGGCAGGAGGATATGTTTGAGATCCACCTAGGCTATGTAGCATGACCCCCATCTCAAACAATCTATTTAGCCAGTTCTCAGGCTCATGCTTGTAATCCTAGCAGTTGGGAGGTGGAAGCAGAAAGGTCAGGAAATCAGCTAATGAACTGTGTTAAGAGACAAGACCTTAAAACCAACTAATAAAATTAAGCCTTCCAGATTCTTCTATTTGGAACATCTCTTTAGATAGTTGGTTTTCAATCATTAGCATGTATTAGAACTAGTTGGAAGTCTTGTTAAAATACAGATTGTTGGACAGTCTGTATTCCCAAGATTCTGTGTTCAGGCTGGGGTAGGATCAGAGAACTAGGATTTATAACTAGTTCACAAATAGTGCTATGCAGCTAGACCAGGCTGGCCTTAGTCTCACAGAGATCTGTCTGCCTTTGCCTTGTGAGTGCTGGGTTTAAAGGCCTGTACTACCATACCTGGGAACTTCATTTTTTTTGAAGGCACATTGGAATGGAAATACTTGATGCTGTTCTGTTGTTAATATTTAAAAAGTTTTTCCTCACAGGGCTGCAGAGATGGCTCAGTGGTTAAGAACACTGGCTGCTCTTCAGAGGAGCTGGGTTCAATTTCCAGAACCCACATGGTGGCTAACAACCATCCGTAACTCCAGTGCCAGGGAATCTGACTTCCTCTTCTGGCCTCTGTGGGCATTGCATGACATGGGTGCACTTATACACATGTAGGCAATACACTCATACACATAAAATAAAAGTAATA